CTTTCGCCACAGTCAGGACTTGGCTTTCTGATATTCCTTGCTAATCAGACTCCTTTATCTTGAATAAAGTGTTACACTTAAATATCATTAAGTACATTAATGATATCTGCCTTGATCTGTTCGGTTATTATTGCTGCTCTCCCTGCTCATTCATAACAGGCTGCATGGATGGGCAGGGAGGTTTTTGCCCAGAACAGAACCATACCACCAAACCAAACTTTATGCTAAGTATCTATCATTTTGACGATAGTGGTCCTGACAGAACTACGTATTATAAATTATATCACATTTTATAATTGCTGTGCTTGTGTTTTATTTTGTGGTAATGGTAGTTCAACATTAAAAAGTAGTAAAAGTATATTTTCTGTCTTGCCTTCTAAATTAAAAGACTGACCCTCATTTTCCAGTTGACAGTGGCTGTCTTTGTCTGGGTCAGTAACTTGGCAGTGGTGGGCCGATCACATTACAGGTCTGTTGAGCACAGAGGAATCAACAGGTAGACCTGGAACGCCTTCATGGCGAATCAAACCTGGTGGGTCATCTTCTGTATAAAGAGGCAGTCAAGGAGGTCCTCACCCCCACCCTGCTCCTCAAACCCCCACTGAGGCATTTATAAACAGGGACGCTGTGGGAGCAGCCCCAGGGTCCAGTCTGGCTAAATACAGCAATCATTGTGGGAGTAACGCGATTCCTGCCTCCATTAGTCTATAGAGACATTCTTCAGTGCACTGAACCAACCCAAGTTACAAAGCCTATTTTCAACATGATGCCAAAGTCAGCTCAAAGCCATTTTTAAAAGCAAGATTTAATAAAAAAATGCAAATTACAATTTTGTTTTATTTATTTACAGTGGGGAAAATATTTATTTGATCGCCTGCTGATTTTGTAAGTTTGCCCACTTACAAAGAAATGAAGGGTCTGTAATTTTTATGGTAGGTTTATTTTAACGGATAGAGACAGAATATCAACCAAAAAATCCAGAAAAAAAACACATTATATAAAGGTTAGAAATTGATTTGCATTTCAGTGAGTGAAATAAGTATTTGATTCCCTACCAACCAGCAAGAATTCTTGCTCCCACAGATTGGTTATGTGCCCAGGTGGAACACAGATTAGTCCTGCCACTTTAAGAAGTTACTCCTAATGTCAGCTCGTCAGGTGTATAAAACACCTGTCCACATAATCTGTATCTTCCATTCCAACCTCTCCCACCACCATGGGTAAGACCAAAGAGCTGTCAAAGGATGTCAGAGACAAGATTGTAGATCTGCACAAGGCTTGAAGGGGCTACAATACCATCAGCAAGAAGCTTGGTGAGAAGGAGACAACTGTTGGTGCGATTATTCGGAAATGGAAGAAATACAAAACAACCATCAATCTGCCTCGGTCTGGAGCTCCGATCGGATGATCATGAGGGATCAACCCCAAACTACACGAGAGTAGCTTGTTAATGATCTTAAGGTAGTTGAGACCACAGTCACCAAGCAAACCACTGGTAACACACTACGCCGCAATGGACTGAAATCCTGCAGCGCCCGCAAGGTCCC